GAAGATAAGCATGTGACAGAGTTCTGTGTCACCCTGGGTCTGTATGTAGAGCACTGGCAGGTCCCTTCCCATCTGGGGAGTGGGAGAGCCAGGCTGGAGCCTGGGACAGGTCTGTCCTGTGTCAGGACTCCAGGCGTGAGTGGTTTATCAGCCCAGGGCTGCTGGGAAAGTTCAGCACTGAAGACTGGGCCCCTCAGGAGACAGGTACTGTCGACCCCTCCTCCCCAGGGCTTCCTCGCCAACTTCCAGCCAGAAGGGTGACCTCCCTGCCTGGACAGCTTCCCACTTTTTTGCTTTATTTCCTGGCTAGTGAATCCAATGAGAAACTCCATGGCGAGAATTCCTTACCAACACTAGTGGTCATTCATTGCATCAAATTCTGTCCATTAGAGCCATCCTCCTGTCAAGAATTTTTCTAATGGCTGCTTAACAATCATAGTGTTTGGTCTCGGCAGCCTTCTCTCCATGACACACCTGTTCTACAAACTGCAAGAGGCCTCTCTGCACTCACTAAAGAAGATCCATCTGAGGGAATGTGTATCTGTAATTCCAAAGTTTTCCTTTCCACTGTCAGCATACCCAACTGAGAAACACCCACATGCACCAAGTATCTAGATTCTCAGATGATTTTCAAGAAATTACTCAGTGGATCTTCACAGCCAGCACTGAAGAGTGGAATATCTTACTAATATTATTAGTAAAACATATGCTATTATCCATACCACGATCTTTAAAGGACACTGGTTTGGTGGCCATCGCTGACTACAGCTGATGTTTTGCTTCTTATCCATACACTATTACAATGGTTTGAAAATCTGTTTCTCGGGGTTGGAGATGGCTCAGTGAGTCAAATGCTTGCTTCACGAGCATGAGGACCTGAGTTCTGATCCCTAGAATCCATGTAAAAAGCTGGACGTGGGAGCACACACCTGTAATCCCAATGCTGGGAAGGATCCCTGGAGCTTGCCTACCCTTCAGTCTCCCTGATCACTGAGCTCCAGGTTCAGTGAGAGACCTTGTCTCAAAGAAAAAGGTGAGGGGCTATGAAGACTTGAAGACAGCCAACACTGACCTGTAGCTTCCACAAGGACATGCATGGTTATGTATAGGTACATGTGTGTGCACGCGCGCACATACAGAGTTTCTCCATTACTTGGTATCCTTTTGGTTAAGATCAAGTGTAGAAACCTATTTCTAAATAATAGTCAAAGTTTTAGTTTTATACCAAATGGTGACAGTTTTAGTTGCTGTGACCAACATGAAGAAGTAACTCAAAAAGAAAACTTTGCCTCATAATGGAGAATACAGTCCACCGTGGTGGCTAGGTGCAGTGGTGGGTGGCTCAAGACTGTGCAGGATAGAGCCAGGACAGGAAGTAGGATGGACTAAAAACTCAAGACCACCCCATAGTAACCCACTTCCTTCCACAAAGATTCCACAACTTCCCCCAAACATCTTCACCAGCTTGGGCTCCATTCAAACACACTTGCCTGGGGGGACATTTTACATCTAAACCATAGTATAGGTCATGGGTATTTCTTAGTGTCCATGCGATTCCTAGGAACTGCAATATGTATCACATCGTTCTGATTACTACTGCTGTATCTAGTTTGACTTTCCTCTTTACTGCTCATGTTTAAGGTTATCCACACATTTTGACTCATTTTGAGATACTGAAGTTGAGTCTGTCATCTCTACCACAGAGAGCCCAGGAAGGGTCTCAGAGGCATGGAAGGGAACAGGTTCTGACTTGCAGCTGGACAGGCTTGTGTGGATGTTTAGGTACAGATCCTCTCCTCCCTGGCTCCCTGCATTGCATTACCACCCGGTGAGGATGTGTGTCCAGATTCCAAGACCTCAACAAACCTCAAGGGCCAGTATGCAGGCACAGCTCAGCAATGCCCCAGGTGAGAAGCAGCTGAGGACGCGGGAAGGTAGCTTTGGAATCTGACACACTCGGGTTTAAATCCTGCTCTGACAATCTTTAGAATAACCTTGGGCAGGTTACTTTATAGGTCTCTGACTTCCTGAGATAAAATTAATCACCCGGAGTGACAGTGGTTTTAAACTAGCTGGCTGTGCAGTCATAGTTTAAGGTGTAGCCTCCTGAACCCCAGTCCTTCCTGACATTCTGTAGCTCCTCAATCTTAGGCACAAAAGAAATCACCCTGAATCTTGGTATACTTGTTTGCAAATGAGGATAATAATTATAAACTTCTGGTTTTTAAAAGGATTCGAGTCTCAAGTGTTTTTTTTGGGGGGGGTGGGGGGTTGTTTGGGTTTTTTTGAATAGAATCTCTTTGTGGCCACAGCTGGCCTGGAACTCACTATGTAGACCAGGCTGGACTTGATCCCTAGAACAGCATTTTTTTTTGCCCTAAATGTCTTGCTCTCCCCATCCATCATGGCCCACGCCCACTCAATAACCTTGAGAGAAGACAAAGAATTCTGTGCTTTCAGTACCTCCTCACAGTCCTCCCATGCCCCCCTGGCCACTACCTATATCCCAACACACACATGCACACAAGCACATGCACATAAGCACATACACACACACACACACACACACACACACACACACACACAAAACAGTGAGGGTGAGGGTGAAAAAAAACCCTCTATAAGGTAGGTAAATAACAGTAGTTTCATGCAATCATGTGTGTTTGTGTGTGTGCCACGTATTTGTGTAAGTGTGCATGTACATGCCCATGTGCATGTGTGGAGGCCAGAGGGCGCTGTGTGTGTCTTCCTCAATCTCTCTGAACCTTGTGTTCTGAGATAGGGTCTATCACTGGACTTAGAGTTCATTGATGGCTAGGCTGGGTGGTCAGTAAGCTCTGAGGATCTACCCCTAACCGCTCCTCCCCAGTGCTGAGTTGCAGAGGCACATCCCCATACTCAGCTTTGACATGAGAATGGGGCTCTGAATTTGTGGGGCATGCACTTGACTGACTGAGCCATCTCCCCAGGTGAACAGGGAATTTTTTAAGCTCTTAGGATTATTATCTAGGGGGGAAAAGCATACTCCATTTACTTTTACCTAAATATCTATATTCATTTTTGGCTGTAACAGTGGTAGCTGATGTAAACACTTGGGAATCTGGATGCTTTGGAGATGTTTTCTAGCTTCATTAAATCATGTTTGTCCTAAAGAGAAATGTTTAAGTGCTCAGTATTGCTTTTAGAATGATGCATATTTATTATTTAATAGCCTGCCAATTTTGGAACATTTTTATATTTAAGTTTCAAAAAAACAGTATTTACATAATTTTTCCTGGAGCATCTGTGTAATTCTCCAACATAATCTCTAGGAAAGCTCTCTCTCTCTCTCTTTCTCTCTCTGT